AGGAAAGGAAAGGAAAGGAAAGGAAAGGAAAGGAAAGGAAAGGAAAGGAAAGGAAAGGAAAGGAAAGGAAGAAAGGAAAGAAGGAAGCAGGGAGAGGAGGAGAAGGAAGGGAGGGAGGGACAAGTTTTCCATCTTTCCCCAAATGAAAGGCTTCTTTATGGTCCAAAGTTTTATCTCATAAACATTTGCTAAGTATTTTGGAGAATACCCTTAACGATTGGCTGATGTTTTTGCTTAAAACGTCCATTCTGCTAAAAGTTTCAACAGCTGATACTTCCTAAGATACAGGAAAGCTCCTGAAATAGATACCACGATCCCATTCCGCAGACAAATCTAGTTTTAATATAATGCAACTGATACCAAAATGTAAATGTTGCTAACGTATTTAAATAGATTGGTGGGTTTATTTTTTTAAAATTACAGATACGGATTTTAGATCCTGTTGCCAGTGGCAGTAAATATCAGCTATGCTAAATGTTTAGATCGGAAACTCTGGTTTACATAAACAATCAATCGTTCTTTTTTATGCGTGTAAGGATGCACATTTTGGGGGGCCATGGCAGCAGTCTACTTTAATAACCAACTTGCACAAAGCAATGTTTATTTATGTGCACATGTCCATGCATAGACAGTTAATTGGTCCTATCAACCTTCAGACACACTCCAAATTTGTAATGCTTAACCTGTTGCAAATGTGTAAAATTGTTGAAAGATTGAAAGATTTATTTTTTTTTTCCCACCGAGTTAAAGCAGTTTCTGCAAGACTTGGCAATATTTATACTCGAGAGTGAAATTGTAAATAAATACATAAAAATATACCGCAATAAAAGCGAATAAAGAAAAACAAGGCCTCAGATCGTAAAACCGAAAGATCAGAACCATTAAATGAAGAACGGAAAGATAACATGAATGTATTTATTTTTTTTGGTAACTGTTTTGAAAGCATAAATTAGAAACTGCGAATGATTTTGGCTACCACAAGTTATTAAAAAAACAAAAGCATTGATTGCTTACATGAAAAATGAACTATTGTTTTAACCGGGAAAGCCATCCATATATAGTTACATAATCCAAAACCTAGGGCAATCTAGCCTCAGTCAATTCCAGCTTAATTTTAATTAGCGTTAATATCTTTTAAAAAAAATTGTTCACATAAACCTATTCGCTTCTGCAACCCGAAAACAACTTGGCTTCCTTTGGCCTCTTAGAAATTGTTGTTTAGTAATCTGATTTTCCTTTTCTTCTAAAAAAAAAAAATTCTAATAAAATAGTATTAAACAAATAAACAAGCAATTAGGCTGCATAAAAAGCCGAGTTTGTTTTCTTCTCCCAGATACTGCCAAATGAAAAACAGATTTACACAGATACTTGGATTTCCAGTTGCGTGCTCTAGCAGGGAGACACAATGAGAGGCCAGCATCCTATTTCATTTGTGGGGGGGTGGAGAGAGATTCAATGTGAGAATCTAACTCCTTAGATTAGAAAATAAATGTTTACCATATGGGGAAATGGGCTAAGCAGAGGAGAGCTAGGTCAGGCTTATGCATGTCCAGGGATGCGATCCAAATGCACAAAAATAGAAAATAGCAATGACCCCCCTCCAAAAAAAAAGGAAAAAAAAAGGAAGAATTGTCATATCATCCCTTTTTTTAGAAATGGGAGGCGGGAGCCGATTTTTTTTCTTAAAGCCAACTTCACTCATACTTCAAGAGTTTCCCTGCTGCTAAAATCTATCACAACCGTGGCTGTTTTGACAACTTTTAAGGGAGGGAAGCATCGTATTAAAGCAGAAAGTGTTTTCCGAGTCAGATCGCATACATTTTGGCTCCTGCTAGGAAATCCAGCCAGGGTTGCGTTTCGGAGAAAATAGGACAATCTCTTGGCTTTTATTTCTGCAGGATTCTACAGAAAGCTCGGGCCAAACAGACAACCAGCCTTCGCAACAAAGGGGTAAGTAATCTCAGGCGCTAACAAATTCGCCGTGGTCTTGGGTTCCAAACTTGCCCGGTTGCCTTTTAGAAGACGGCTCGCGAGAAAACTGGAAGTTCCCGCTGGACCTTTGAAACCCGAGGAACGTTGACCTCATGTTAAAAATCCTTCTTTGTGTTTAAACTTTTTTTTCCTTTTAAAAAGCAGGAAATAGATCCCAAGGTAAGGCAAATCTGGAGGGGAGGTGTTGGGGGAAGGAGACCTCCCCCCCCAAATCCAGCAAAGGATTAGCCCAACATAACTCTAAAATTAAACTCTGTGTTCTTCATTTGACAGAAACATTCTTGGGTGCTCACGATTATTTGGAGCTGTCAAACAGGTTCCCTCGGCAAACCTGGGAAGAGGCCTGGCAGTTTTTCTTGAAGAAAGAGAAAAAAGGATAATTTATTGAATTGTTTGTTTTGATTCGTTTTGTTTTGCCAAGACGGTTACTTTTCCTCCCTCTTGTTGAGCAATTTTGGGTGTCTTGAAGATGACGTTGGAAAGATTCTTCGATCTTGGCAACGCATATATTGTAGATATATATATATAGAGAGAGAGGTATATATATATATATATATATATATATGCATGTGTGTATATATATATATATTTTAAAAAGTATAATTTGCACTACTTCGGTCGGAAGACTTGTACATATTTTGAAATCCTGTTTCATGGTTTTGGAAAAGAAAAGGTTTATTTTATTGTGAGCGCTTATCTTTCTGCAATCTACCATCGCCAGCTGGCATTGCAACTCCCAGCGCTCCCCAGCTAGTATGGGCATTGTAGTTGGACATACCAGCCAGATGATAAGATTGAAGAAAGACCTGCTTGTCCCGCAGGTCAAAAAAAGTCAAAATGGCAACCGTATAATCGAAACCTCGCCCTCTTTTTTTATGTTTGTGGACCCCATCCGGTCTTTTTTTTTCATCCTATCCTGCAAGTCCCCTTTTTCACACTGACCCTTGTGTCCTGTTTTTCTGTACAGTAGAATAGTTGGCATTTGTCCTGCTGCTAAAAGGATGCTCTAAATCGGTGGGTATTTTTTTTCAAACTTGGCAACTTTAAGCGGTGTTCAACTCACGGCGAGCTGGGGAATTCTGGGAGTCAAAAGTCCACACCTCCGAAAGTTACCGGTTTTTATATATATATATATATATATATATATATTAAAAAACTCACTGCTCTCAGTAGAAGCCAACCAATGATAGTTTCTCCCTTTGTTCCTTTCATTTCAGTAAAAAAAAATTTTTTCCCTGGTTTCCTGTTCTTAAAGACCTTGTCTTAAAGCAAATGTTTGTTGTTTGATTGTCTAGGGTTTGTGGGGGGTTTTTTGTACAACTTTTGGTATCCGAGCTTCCGGTGTTTTGGGGTTTTTTTAGGAAGCGCAATGTTCTCGATGTAGATAAATAAGCTAGGGGAATTTCACCCCCCCCCCCCCCCAGGTGAGGGTATAATTTGGGGGCAACAAGTTCCGGTTTACTTTAAATTTTGTGGGCATGTTGCAAATGTCGGGCATTTTGATAATGGCCGTTTTCAGTCTCTGTAAGTGGTGATTTTCACGAAGTTCATTAAAAGGAATGTTGGAACACCCGCGGTTGGATTGCATTTGTATTATCCTCATGTTATCGTGATGCTAGGAAGACATCACTGAAAGTTATGACCGTGATTCTGTTTTGTTTTTCAGGGGAGTGAGCCCCCAAGCGCTCTAAGAGCTGTTGCTGCCTTAAAAAACAGAGGCAGAACATCTTTGAAACCTTTCTTCGGGTTTCAAGTTCGTGCAGAACTTAAAGAAACAGAATAAGAGAGTTGCAAGGAACCTTGGAGGCCTTCTAGTCCAACCCCTCACTCAAGCAAGAGACCCTGCACCATTTCAGACAAATGGGTCAGACAATCTCCTCTTAAAAACCTCCAGTCTTGGAGCATTTACAGCTTCTGGAGGCAAGTAGTTCCACTGATTAAATCGTTCTCGCTGTCAGAAAATTTCTCCTTAGTTCTAGGTTGCTTCTCTCCTTTGACGGAGCTTCCATCCACTGTTTCTTGTTTTACCTTCTGGTTCTTTGGAGAATAGCTGGACCCCAACTTCTCTGGGGCAGCCCCTCAAATATTGGAACTACTATTATCATGAACAGCCCAAATGTATGTCTATGCGAGGTTCAAAGCACATCTTCTGAATCACTTTCGGGTAGGGGTTAAAGCAGGGGACTCGCCCCCTCTCTCATCCCCCCCCCCAAATCTTCAGCATCTGTTATAGATAGATAGATAGATAGATAGATAGATAGATAGATAGATAGATAGATAGATAGATAGATAGATAGATAGATAGATAGAT